TTATGTATAGTACAAAGATTGTCTTATTGATACACTCCTTTCACAGACAATAATGTTCTCTTTCAATTATCACCTCTGTGAAATAGTTAGAACATCTCTATCTATGCGGTCACTCTTTATATTTTAGGTACACACTTAAAAAAGGTCTGTGAAACTTCTGATAAGGCTTCCCATGAACTAAACAAGTTCAAACTGCATCCTACTACCTTCTCATATGTCTCATCCTTCCCCTTCTATTTCTCATATATAACAAGAAATGTGTTATTAATACAGCAATGAAATCTCAAGATCTTTGGCCCATTCTTCTTGTTGCTTATTTTTTCATCTTCAAATTCTACACAATTTACACACATTTAATAATTTGGAAAGGTCATCAATTTCCTTCCACAGTGTTTCATTTTTATTAATTAGGTTTATTGGTACGTTTTAGGTTTATATGCTGATTACATTCACCATAGAGAATTTGTACCAGTACATGCTTCTTACTCACAGAAAGTTTTTATATTTTAAGAGAATTATAGGAAGCCCATTCATAGTATTCTGCTTTCCATCCATGAGGTTTAGCTATTAAATGGACAAAGTCTCCAAAAATCTGTCACCAACTTAGTTTACAAATATTTTTCTTTCTTACTGCCTTGCCTCAGTGAAAGTGAAATGCTTACTTTTTCAAATTATGTAAAAATTTCTTATTTCTCTCATCATTTTCATGCTATTTTCTCTGATCAGGAATGACCTTTTCTTCTGTCTTAAATTCTTGCATGCATCTGTTTAATCTCTCTTTAGTGATTTTCTAAAGTCTGCGTGATATGTTTCACATTCTATAGCATTTTAAAAACTAGCCAATTATTTAAAAAGCTATGTATTAGTCAGTGGTATAATTTTGCTTTCAAAGGTGTCTTACACAGAACCATATATGCATTTATGTATTTAAATAAACACACATGTGTATATAATATATATAATATTTTACTTGCATTAATATATTTCATGTATTTGGTGATAACATTTATAAAGTCAATCACTGAAGAAACTGCTGAAGACTTAATTTGAAATTGATCACGAATGGCAGGTATAGTCTGGTACTGGTGCTTAATATATTAGTGCTCTATTTTTGTCAAAAAAACTTGGGAATTAATAATGTGTATATGTAATTTTAAATTATAAGTTTTTATGATTCATTTTCTAAATTCCAACAAATATATACTAACAAATGAGAATCTTAGAAAATCCTGTGTGAAGATAGCACAGGATTTCCATATACCTTACACTCAACTTCTCCTTGTTATTAATATCCTACATCAATATAGCACACATGTTATAATTAAGGATTCTATTTTGATACATAGCGTTAACTAAAGTCCATACCATATTTATTGAAGTTTACCTCTCTATCTAAGTGCATTAAACTAAATGAATGAAATCTGAATAAAAATGTAGAATTTTTAAAACATCTCCCTGGATACTTGTGTTTCATTGGAACACGACAAATACCAGTTACTTTCTCTTTTGGTTTCATGGGTCTTGTCTGACAGCTGAAGTCCAATCTCTCTTTTGCAAATTAAGTTTTTCAATAAAGAATTGTTTTATTTTTCAATTCCTCAGTACATCGCACTGCTTAAAACCTCATGCTTATATTGTTCTTTGGTTGGATGCTCTCCTTTCCTTTTTGTCCAGCTACTGGATTTTGATTAATCCCCTAAAACACAGGGTGAGGACCTTCTATTCTGTGGTTTCATTCCTAAAGCTGCTAAAAATCTGTTTGCAGTGGTTTTAATATTGTCTCTTTTCATCAAGTGAAATACTCAGATATATATAAAATTGAATTTAACCATTACAAGTATCAGCTTTTTAACTGATTATTTTAGGCTCTATAATTTAATATTATAATTAGCATTGCTATGAATATAATTGATTTAATAAAATAAGTTACATGATTTCTTAAGCACTTTGGTCATAAAAGATTATATTCATGTTTAAGTGTTGATTTTGTTATTCACATGACCTCATTTTGATTTAAATTGCTGTTTACGCTCTTTAATATTTTTGCGTAGGGGAAAAGAGTATCACATTCAACCTTGACTATTTCATTTTAAGGTCTGGTAAGGAAGAACAATTACAGGATGTCAGGTAAGGTTTTTTTTTTTTCTTTTCAGTAGAACTAATTACTTTACTAAACCATTCTTAACTTTAGATGATGAGAGCATGAGAGAATTGTTGCATAACAATGCATTAAAATTAAAGTTATAAATGCAGTTCGCATATGGATTTCAACAGACATTTTAACCCTTTAGCTCATTACTATTCAGCTAAAGTATACTGGAAATAGAAAAAGGTTTGTAGACTTGTTAGTAGTTATTAGTCTTCCTTGTGGCAGTAGTTATTGACATTTGTGTAGTAGCTAACATTTATTGGTTTCTTATTCATCATCTCATTTAATCCTGACAGAAATCCATTTCTATTCTGACTAAAAACGTTATCTTTATTTACAGCTGAGGAAACTGAAAGTCTGACTGATTAGCAGGCTTAACTAAGATTTTACAACCATTTATGTTTCAGAGGAAAATAATAACTAAAATCTCAAAGGAGCTCTAGAATAACTTTTTCCTAGAAACAAATTCAGTTTCATTAGGGGAGTGCTTAATATTTTTCAGTGCATATGCTAGATTTGGTGATGCCAAAAAAGTCTTACTTCCTTTAATATATAGTGAAATTGTAAAAAAAGTAATTCTACTCTTTTGTTATTTTTCTCCTCATTCTCATTGTTAAAGAGACTGAAGAACTGTGATGTGCCAAATATTGCATATAGAAGAAGACTAAAACAAAACAAATTTTGGAGGCATGAATTATGGAGAAAAGTTATACAAGTTGCTGTAAGTAACCTATAAAGACCATAACCGGGGCTGGAATAAAACAGGAAGCAGGAGAGTGAGGATGACCTTATTCATAGCCAGGATATGGAATCGAGCTAGATTTCCATTAGTGGATGAATGGATAAACAAATGGCTGTACATAACGAAATCTGACTAAAATGCAGCAATAAATGAAAATGGAATTCTGTTATTTCAGCAGTATGGATGGAACAGAAGGACATTAGGTCAATGTTGGCACAAACACACATATTACATGGTCTTACTCATGCAAACTAAATAAATTTATCTCTTAGAAGAAGAAAGTAAAATACTGGGTAGCAGAGAAGAAAGAAGGGCAGGAGGAACAGACTGTAAGAGAAAGTTTGGTGATTCTGTGCAAAAATATAGGGAGAAGAGTAAGTCCTAATGTTTTATTGCACAGCAGGGTAACTATAGTTAATAATAATTTATTGCATATCTTAAAATAGCTAGAAGAATGAATTTTGAATGTGCCTAACACAAAGTAATAATAACTACTTAACATTATACATAGCCTAATTACCTGGATTTGACATTGTATATTGTACGTGTGTACAAATAACACACCATGCAACATAAATGTGTAGAATTGATACTTATCAATTAAAATAATGAGAAGACAAAACAATTGAAATGGCACAGGTTTGTTATATATATAGCAATAATTTTCATCATAAAGCAATTATAAGAAATGAGGAAAAGTGTATAACTGAGGAAAGCTATTTAAGGAGCTATTTATAAGCCTCAAAATAAGGAGTCATATTAGTATGAAGGTAAAATAAGGAGGTGGAAGTATTGATTTATATTTTTATAAGTTCAACTTTCCTTTCTTACCACTACACTCCATTCTCATTTATTAAACCCCAATGTAAATTTGATTTGATTTAAAATTTTATTTCTGTACCTATACATTTCTTTCATTGAGTCAATATTACAGTTCAAAGGCAGACATGTATTACATTGGAAAAGGGAATATTTTCAGAGACAATCTGCAGAGATAGAATTTTTATGTCAGTAAATTCAGGAAAATAAGAAAGGATCACCAACACCATATAGAAAGTTAAACAATAAAGCAGGAGAAAATACAGAAAATGAGAACAGACAGGAAAAGTTGGTATTTCATTAAATGGAGGAAGGTATGAGACTGAACGACAAGTACTTCATTTCCAGGTTCTCTGGAATCAGGAACTCCTGCTCCCAGCAAACAGCTTAGCATGTGAAATCCACTGAACATTGCTGTGTACAGATGTTAGATCTTGGAATGGTCCTGGGAAGAGCTTGAAAGTAATTTGTTTCAGACAAAGAATATGTTAGGGAACAGGGACAATTTTCAGTGCAAATAAAAGCTGTGTGCTTGCAGAGAATGCAGTGTTTGTTGCTGCTCAGCCGACCAGTTCACGCCAGTATGGAAAACCATGTGGTTTCCCATTGGCTACTCGGTACAAATTGTCAGTTTTCCTACTTGTAAAAAATTGTAGACTTAATAAAGGCAAAAATATTTGCTTGCCTGCTACCTGTACAAATTGACTAAATTATCAATCCACACAGCCGGCCTTCTAAACCAGTCTGTACTGAAATGTGTGCGGGTCAAATAGGGACTCAACTCTGTCCTTATCCTCTATCTAATATACAAAGCTCTACCTTAAATACAGACCAGATTCTGAACATTTCTACAAAATTCTGCTTTAAAAATAGATGACTGATATAAAGTATAGACTGATAAATTTATAAAACTTTAAAACCTATTTTCTTGAAATTTTCTACATGTCCACACAGGAATTACTTTCCATTTTTTGATAGTTTAGCAATGAAAATAATATAGTTCACTCACTAATCATAGATAAAATGGAAAATCTTTTAAAATTCAGAAAAATTAAACATTTGGAAATTACTACAATATAAAGAAATAATGAACACTTCATCAATAATGAGAAAATCTAAAAAATATTTTCCATTAGCTTTTTTGTCATTTACCTACCTCTTTTTACCTGAAACTCGGATTATTGAAACTGACCAATCAGATAAAATTGAATAACTGTTTTGTATAATTACATGCATTGTTTGTTAAATTTTCCACTAAGGCATAAATTACATTGTAAAAATATCACAAACCTCTATGGCAAAGCAGCTTGTCAAAGGATTCCCCCCATTTCACTGCTTCTTCAGGAGAGACACTGTCCAAGAAACAAAATGTTTTATAGTGGAGTGTGTACAAAGTCTGTTTATGAATCTGCTCAAACATATGCTGTATTTCTGCTCTTTTCAGTTAATATTTTACAGGGTTTCTTTTTTGATTTTTATATCATGAAAGTCATTTAAATTAATAACTTCAAAAACATTGGTCAATTTTCTTTTGAAATTTGCCAATTGAACAATGGGTTAACATTATGGATTGCTCATTGGTGTAACATTTTTTAAGAAAGAAGATAATTACAAATTAAGTTAAGCATCACTAAGCCAAATAAAAAGTAATTAGGTCAACTATCTTTAACTCAACAGCCATGAAAACCTAAATTTAAAATAAGTATCTTTCAGTCAAATATTTTTCCTGCAATTTCCTTGAAGCTCTAACCACAATATGCTGCAAATTTTGTTTTTAACAATACAGGAAGTTTGACCAATGAAGTTATAAAGGGATTAAAAAAATATAACACAATTTAAAAAATTCAACAAATATTTTAGGGATGTTGATAATTTAGAAAGTTGAATATTTTCCTGGATCTTTTATTGGTATATTCAAAATTGGAAGATCTGTATTAAAATAGTATAGAAAGCTAAGGTAATTCTATTTTGTTTGAATTAAATGGTAAAGCTCTAAGATATCATTTATTTCTCCATTATTATACTTAGTGAATTTTTCAAACTCCAGAGGAAAGAGATGAATAGCTCTTTTCTATGACATTTCATTGTGTAAAGAAATTAATGTTATATAAATTTATATAAAGGGAAATATAGTGTTTAAAATTAACATGTATATACTCTTAAAGAACACATTTAAATGTTCATATATTATTTAAATTCAAACTATCAGTTTTTAATTTTTTGAATTAGTCCTAGTTTCTCAGAATGAGATCTATAACTTTCCTTATATCACTGTGGAAGTTCCAGTAAAGTACAAACCCCTAATTCCCTACTTTTTCAATCTTTAATTACAAAATTAACAAACTCTCCCCCTGCACACCCGAAGTTATTCACCTTGTTTCTCTGGCCAAGGGCCGAGATCTACTGGAGTGGGTCTCTTCATGTAACTCAGCTTTCTGAACAAGAAGACTTAGCCTGTTTCTTTTTTCCTTAGCTCTGTAAAAAACAGCAATAGCTTCACAACAATTTATATGACATAAAATTCCTTCTTCTGCCTACCAAAGAAGTATGAAATTGTTAAATACCCACCCACACACTCACAAATACACCACCCCACACACATGCACAAACCTTTTTGAGTCACATTTAAATGTTCTGTTTGCAGAGGAATTAGGATGGCATATGCTAGATATGTTCTTTTTTCCTTCAGGACAGATAAATACTTGAGATTATATTTCAGCCAAGATTATTCAAGTTCTTTAGTTTGTGCAAAATTACTACATTTCTAAAAGATGAGAACACTTTATATATAGGAATTGTTTACTCCTAATAAATTTTAAAAAGTTTTTTCCAATTACAATGGAAGAATTAATATATTTTCAGCCGTATATTTCAAAAGTAAGTGCTCACAAATAATTCAACATCAATCATGTTTTTAAAAGCATAAGATGAATTAAAAATTTATAATTTTACCTGTTTTTGGCTTCTTTGCTTGTTTCTTCTTTTTCTGTACCATGCATTAGCTTGAAGAAAGTTTTTTCTTTTGATTCACACATATTTAAGTGAGAAAAGAAAACTAAGGATGTTTCCATTTTCTCCCTCCAAAATAAGGAGATATCTAATTTATTACATTGTTCTCTAGTGTATGGGTTAATGCTATATCATAGTTATAGTTATACATGGCAGAAGAAAAAGCTGTCTCAACTCTATCAGCAATGCACACACACAGACACACACACACACTCACACACACACACACACACACACACACACGTCAAAAGCTGTGTTTCTGTCCGTGCAGAAATGTAGAACTGAGGAAATGAAGTACAGTTTTTACCTAAGCTATTTAGGGAAATGATATTACACATTTTCGAAATGACTGTTGGTTTCCAAGATAAAGACTGGTATTACCACAGTCCAACTTCTCTTTCAAGTTTGCGCAACCAGAATGATTCTTTAATAGACACTGTCATTTCCCTTAGGAACTTTTGAAAAGTCTTTCAATGTGTATTAAAATGCATTTTTTATTGCATTACTTTATTTTTAGAATGGACACTTTTATCTTTCCATCCAAAGATATTGTCTTCTCCATTTTTTCAATATTATTTTTATATAACTCAGAGAGTTTAAATTTTCTTGGCAACAGTTCCATACCATTCTTGATAAAAGTGTGTGTGAGTGTGTGTGTGTGTGTGTGTGTATCTGTGTGTTATTTGGATTGACCTGAGGCCCTTTACACTGAGCTACATCTGCAGCCTACCTGCCTCTCTGTTTGCCTGTCTGTCTGTCTACCTATCTGTGTATCTACAACTTCTTGATAGAGTCTCTAAGTTGTCCAGACTGGGCTTAAACTTGCAATTCTCCTGTCTTAATCTCACAGAGGGCTGGAAATACACACCTGTCCAACACATCCACTAGTAAACGTGTTTGGAAAAATATTGTATCAAACATTAGAGAGGGGTTGGGGATTTAGCTCAGAGGCAAAGCGCCTGCCTCGCAAGCGCAAGGTCATGAGTTCAATTCCCGGTACCGGAGAAAAAAAAAAAAAAAAAAAAAAATTAGAGAGTATGTTCTCCTATTCCCCAAAATGTAAGTTTATTTATTTTAGTACTTTGAGTTGATTAAATTACATTTAATTCACATGATCTTTTTAGTCCCAGTTACATTTGCTTAACATGTTGCATCGAAATAAGACTATCAATAAACTTTTGTCATTGAAAGAGACAATGTGAAGCACTTAATTCAGAAATTTCTAACCATAGATCCATAGAAAGATTTCAACATATTTTTGAAGTTTTATTAATATTCATTACACAGGAAAAAAATTATGGAATTTTTTTCTCAAAACTATACTCTTATTTTTTCCATATTTTTGAGTAATACATGTTTGTAGTATATGTCTATATTCCTTTTGAGGAATTGGTTCATATACAGGAAACATCTTAATTTCTTTTTTTTTCATTCTTTATCCTGTCTCTCCCTCTTCCTCCAGTCCACCTCATAATCCCCTTCCTTTTTTGTGTGTGTTTGCAGTACATAATGTTTACATTCCTCTGTGGAACTGGCACATGTACATAACACATCTTAATTCCTTTGTTCATTGTCTTTTCTCCCCTCCCTCTATACTCTTTCTTAAAATATAAATGAGTTTTTTTGTTTCAAATTTGCCCTTTTTGCTATTCTGTTAAAATATATTTTCAGTGAAGTATTTTCATTAGAGATGAAAGCTTGTGTTTTGGTTTATGCAGAGAAATATTGACCAGTCCAAATTTGTTCAGCCTGCACTATTTTCACTGTTAATTAAAATCCAAAATTCTGAGAAATACTGTTCTTGTCCACAATTTACAATGTCTAGAAAAATAAACAAAGGACCACTGATATCGAGTGATGCATTCCTGTACAGCCTGAGAGAGGACAGTGGGATATCTGGAGCTGACAGCACCTTTGCTCACCAACAGTGTGTGCAGCAGTCTTCCCAGGAGTCTTGAGCTCCAGTAGTGCATTATTTCATTCATCTAGAATTGTATGAGTTAAAAATCCAAGCTCCACACTGTAAATATTATTGTATTTGCAGTCTTTTCAAAATTTTTGTTTACCAGTAGTTAACAGAGATATAATTTGGAGTTCAAAACATTTACTAATTTTAAATTGAGAGCACAATATATATTTTATACATATAACTTTCTGATCCTACTTTGTAAATATGTTTAAATTCTTCACCTTGGCTGAAAATTGGCTGTTAAAAATATTGCATATGACAGCATTTTATGGCAGCTATACCTAGAACTGGATGCTAAGAATGTACATTATGTTTCCATCCTGGTGATCTCCTACTAGTGTTTAGCATCTGTGGTAGATTGACAACTGGTGGTCAACTTATAACCCCCAGCTGAACTGAGTAAGCATGTTGCTGGGTGTTGGAAGTCCACCTGGGGGACTGTTGCCAGCAGCATAAGCGGCAGACCTGGAGAAATAAATGAAACGGCTTTTGGGAACTAAAGAGGCTGTTGGGAGCGGAGAAAGGCTGTTGCAGCTGGTAGAAGCTGTAAGGAGCTGTTGGTTATTTTGGAGGAGCTCGTCATGCTGGCTTTTCTGATGAACTTGGCTGTTTTCGTCCTGTGAGGAGCTTAGGACCTTGTTGGCACTGAGAATGGCTTTGATTCACTTTGGGAGAGCTCTCGTATTCACTTTGACCATTGCTTCCTGGCTCCAGAAGGGAAGATGGTGTGCTGCTGGTGTCCTGGAGAAGCTTGCTGTGTGGACTTCCCTAATTGAAACTCGGCCATCTTGATCACTGGAGGAGCTTGGAACCTCACTGTTGCTGAGGATGGCTGTGGTACCTTTGCGGGGAGCTCTGGTTCTTCTGAGCATTGCTTCCTGGCTCCAGTGCAGATTCCTCAGCCTACTAGCACAGATCCTTCATCCTGCTGACACAGACTTCCTAAATTCCACTACAGACCTTTGGGCCTTCCCAGCACAGATCCGTGGAACAGACCTGCATGAGATATTGTTATGGGCTCTGGGCCTTCAGTTGGATTCGTGAAAAGCATTGTTATGAGCTCTAGGTCTTAAGGTGGACTCCTGCAGGACATTATCTCGGGATCCAGGCCCTCAGCTGGAATCTTGGTCTATGTTGTGTGGACATATATCGTGCACTCGTTTGTATATCATTCTTTGGGTAACTATTATAAATAATCATATAAAATATGTGTCCTGTATTGTATTATATTCTTCCCTTTGCAAAATATCCCCCAAACCATAACTGCATCCATATTTTATTTGTTTTAAAATTTTTGTAAAGGTGAATGACAGCACAGGAAAAATCCTAGATCCATGAATATCACACAATCCCTAACTGTATTTAAACTATTATACTATTTAAACTATCATACTATTTTTTGTAAGGCTTGTTGAAATTGTGTGCATGATGTGCTGTCTGCTAAATGACAGAACAATAAATAAATAAATAGTGAAAATATGGGTGCAAACCATTTCAAAGGTCTATATAAAGCTCTAAAACAGAATTGGGAAGGAGATGTGTGGTTCTGCTCTGTGTATGTGAACCACTAGGAGCTGGAACAGAAAAAGGAAACTATGCACAGTGAATAGTAACTTCCACTACTAGTCATTCTTTTTGAACTCAATTACTGAAAATATTTTTTGAAAAATAATAAATAATAGTCTTTTTTACTTGCTCATGTTTTCCTTTCTAGATCTCTTTGTGTGTATTTAAGTTTCCATTTGGTATCACTTTTTTAGTCTTTCTTCAACATTGCAAGTATATGGACAATAAATTTTCTCAGATTTTCATTCTCTGACACTGTGTGTATGTGTGTGTGTGCAATGTGGATTAGCTCAATCAAGCCACTTACCTAATCCATTAGCTCACATTTTTTAAGGGGTGGAGTGGGAATTTAAACACTTAAAATCTATTCTCAGCAATTTGCTAGTATATAATATAAAAACAAACAGAAAATACCTTCTTTTTTCATCTTCAGTTGGGATACAATTCCAGGTTATGTTTCTTTCATCTTCTAACACTTTTAAAGTTGTTATACTCTTGTCTTTTGGCCTCATTTCTCACAAGAAAGCAATGCCAACATGCTTAACATTGTATTCTGTAATGCGTCTACCCCACTTTCAGATTCTTTTTTCTTTAAAGTATTGGGTTACTATATGAAGGGTGTATTGGTCAGTTTTTTTATTACTGGGACAAGACACTTAGCAGCTGCAATTTCAAAGAGGAGAGATTTGTTTTGGCTCACAGGTTTAGTGATGTCAGTCCATGGTAAACTGGTTCCAAAGTAGAAATACCATGGTGGAAGTGTGTTGTGGAAGAATGCTGATGAGCTCAAGGCATCTGGGAAACAAGGAGTAGAGGAAAAGATAGAGAGGAAGTGGTAGGGACCAAGTAGTCCCCAAGGTCATGACCCCATGACACATTTCCTCCAACTGGTCCTTGCCTCCTAATAACCTGTTCAGCTATAAACTTGTCAATGGGTTAATCCTCTAATCACCTTTCCAGGAATCTGTTAATTCACTCAAGCTGATGAGATTAACAGGTACAAGTGGTAATTATTGTACTTGAGATTTATTGAGCATCTGGGACTTGTGCATTTACAGTTTTCACCAAAGATAGAAATATTGAGGTTTTAGCTTTCTATTTGTTTCTCTCTCTTCTACCTCTAAACCTTTTTATACATGTATATGTAGGATCTTAATATTTGCACCAGTCTCTTAGGAATTATTCCATTTTTTGCACACTTTTTTCTCTCTGATTCTAGTTTGTATAGCTTCTATTGCTGTGTCTTCAAGTTGATGATTTTTTTTTTAATTTGAAGTAACTAATCTGGTATTAAGTTTTCCAGTAAATTTTTCATTTCACCTCAAAAAATCACATTTTTTCCTATAGATTCCATTCTGGCTTCATACTATTCTTTTAAACAAAGTATCTGAACATGTTTATAATACCTATTCCGAACCTATTTTCAGAAAATTCGCCTGTGTAATCTCAGTTTTGTGATCCCTAGTTTTCCTCCTATTCATACCACACTTTCGTGCTCCTTCAGAAGTGTAGTTGTTTTTGACTAGATAATGAGAATTTTAAGGTTGTTACATATTTGACTTAGGGAACTTTTATAGGGTGTTATATATTCAACTTTTGTTAATCTTCATTCAATGATGATGAAGCCATTCTTGGTCACCATTTTTGTATCAACTTTGTCTTCAGTGACTTGTATTTAAATTTGTTATGGTGGTGGGGCTGGAGATTTAGCTCAGCGGCAAAAGCGCCTGCCTGGCAAGCGCAAG